GTTCTTACATTCACCCCACCTTTTAAGAATGTTGTCCGCAAAATTAGAGACATAATTGTCCCTAAACTCGGGGTATTGCAGGAGAAACTCGTCCTCCCACTCCTAAGTCCGAACCGAACCGAACTGTTTCCAACCGAACCGAACTGCTCCCGAACCAAACCAGTTTTGAACTGAACCGAACCACTTCTGAACCGAACCGAACCACTTCCGAACCGAACCATTTAAACCAATTTGGTTCAGTTTTTCAAAAAATCCGGTTCGATTCGACCCATGCACATCCCTACTACTGGCATTGTTGTTAGGCTTTAATCTTTAAAGTTTCAATATTCATTTTGGCTGACATGTTATTTTTTGAACTTTAGATTTCACATCTGATTTGGGCCTGTAAATTATTGGACATTTGATTTTGATTTTAGTGAAATAAGTGAAAATCATTTGGACTTTGCATAGTTTTGTGAAATAGGTTCGATGGGTATGTCTCATAATTAATAAATTTTGTCTTTTTTGGGATTTTTAGTGGGTTTTCATATTTCACATTTTTGGATTTAGTGAAATTGGTTTCATATTTTATTTGGCTATATGGTTAATCAATATTTTATTTAATTGGCGCATTCATGACTAGTTCACTGTCATTGGTTTTTGGCATTGCATAAACATTGTTGCAATGTTTTTAGGCTCATTGATTGCAGTGTATTGCATCATGACTTGTGACTGACAATGGATTAAATGTAATTAATCATATTTTACATTAATTGAGGTTTTTGATTATAGCTTAACTTATAAGAGTTAATATTTACTACATTTGGCGGTGCTATTGGATCATTTTATTGAATAAAAGGGAGTACAATTACTATATAATTTGGCATTAAGGGGGCATTTGGTACAAGAGATATTTTTTTCCGGTCTAGGAATATAGTAGGAAAATATTTTGCCCGGGAAAGTAACGAAAATGTGTTTGGTAGCCCAAAATATTGCCGGAAAAGTTGGGTTAATTTGACTGATGCTATGTTTGGTTGATTGTAAAATATTGATAGGAATGTAAATTGAATTTACCAAATTACCCATCATTTTTGAAAATATTATATGTCAGTCATGAAACAAGAGAGCATTTTGGTCCTAAAATGTAAAAATCAGAATCCAAATTCAAAGGGGAGGGGTGAAAATACCATGTGATAGGGAGGGATTTTTTTTTCCAGTATGTAGTTACAAACTCAAATGGTAGGGAAATCATTTGGCAGGGTTATGTTTCCTAATACCAAACATGGTCAAAAAATAAACCCAACACCACTTCCCATCATTCCAATCAAAATACTCATACCAAACACCCCCTAATTGCATGTGGCAAAAGGAAGATAAATGGGTATAATAGATTCTGAACCCATAACTGAAGGTTAATATTTATGCACCATGTGAATTAAATTAGGTAAGCTTTTTTTACCAAAAAAAAAAGGCAAGTTTTTTATTTTTTTATTTTTTGGTACATTGCCAGGAGGTATCCCCATTCAACCTTCTCCGGGCACCATGTATATCATGTATTATAATGATTTGATTGTATGTGTTAATTAATGTTTCCTTATACATACAATCTTGAGATAAATAATTGACTATTTTGATGTTATTGCCTATGGTTTGAAGCAATAATTTGGGTTTGGAAATTAACGTCAAATGATCCATATAATTTCATTTAATTAGAGATAAGTCTCAGTACTCTTAATTATTTTAATTATATATTAAGAGTCTTTGGATCACATAAATGGTGTGACATTAGTTGTAATTCATCATGTAAATATAATAAAAATTCTTGTGTGATAAATTTTTGAAAATTACATGTGATGTCTTTATGTTGAAATTATGGAGATATGTAATTTATAAAATTTATCTGCTCAAAGGAGATAAATTTTAGACAATTATATTTAATTTTCTCCTACTTAAGCATAATTAGTATTTTTTGTCTTATACTTTAATGTTAAATGCTGGATTTTTTTTTTGGCAAAATTTGTTGGATTGACAATGCAATATGATTTTTGGAAACACATGTTGTGAAGTGTTTCATGTTGTTAGAAACACATATATTGTTAAGTGTTTCATGTTGTTGGGCATTGTTGTTGTCTATTATATTGAATTTTTATATGTTAATTACCTGCCCAGAGAGGGTTGTTACATATAATAATTTGGAAAATTGCATGAAGAAATTATTGATAAGATTATGTAATTTAAAAGTATTTATCTACTCAAAGGAGATAAATTATTTTTAAATTGCATGTGGTATTATTGCCCAAAGGGGATGAATTTTTATAATTGTATGTAATTCTCCTTGTTGTTCAAATCTTTATGTGATGGAAAAATATTTGTATATTATATTCTCTGCCCAAAGGGGGGATTTATGATATATAAATTATTTTGTTGTTGTCCAAATTTAATCTTGTTGCATTGTGTAGGTCAATCAATTAATTTTAGCATTAACAAATTCATGCCATTGTTGAGTTTTTGACTATTTCAAATTATAAAAAATAGAGATGTATAATATATAGAATTTTTTTTATGAACCCTAAAATTTGAGAATAGAAATTCTTCTTCAATATTCCATGAAGACACACATATAATATATCAATGGGAGGATCCTGACATATAGAATAAAAGCCCTAAGTTTCTCAATTCAAGTAAACAAGTTCATGAATTAATGCATAAAGTTTCAACCTTGATATATATATATATAAACCCCAAATTCTTTGATTCCATTTAATATCATGGATTCTATAATCATATACATAAGACTCTGATACTAAATGATAGATTTAAATTTCCAGGATCATATATATAATTATAAAATACCTAAGCAATATGAAATTAAAGTTGCGATTGTGCGTACCTTGTTAGATCATCACAAAGATGGAGGAAAGAAGGAACTACATGCCAGGATCTTTTTCTCTATCACCTATTTCGAAAATGGCAGCCTCAATGCAATGGAAGCATGACGGCTTATAAGGCTTTACCCAGTATAAATAGGCTAGAGAGGGGACCTAACCAAATATCCTAAAAAGAGTTTTGTGTCCACTGGGTCCATCCATCACGAAAAATTAAGGTCACACTAAAGCCTATAATGCTGCCCAATTAGACCAATACCAATAGATGTCATAAGCCCAACTCAATATGATCACTATAGTCAATATGTTAGTCAAAGTAATACAATTAGAATATTCATTAACCGATTGATTTTAAAACACAAAACTAATCAATTAATATTGTTCACGGAAAATTTATAACACAAATAACTATTAAGTTAAAAAAGAAAGAATGTTATTGTTTAAAAAATCTTTAATATTTCAATAAAATATTTTATAAAATCACCATACATAATCCATGACACACCTCCTTACGGCCAATCCGAGCTTCTCCTAGGAAACTGGCACGACATAAGTATGGTACAATAGCGTAAGCTCATTGTCCCCTGCTAATCTACTACTTCTAACGGTTAAGTTCGTGTAATATGTAAGCTCATTCCATACAACCTCTAAACGGTGTTTGGGTTGCATGCTTAATACTGCTTGGTCGTGGGGATCAAAATAAAGATTTCTCATATATGGATTGTCAGATGTTATTACTAATGAATAATAATTCAATATTTATTCATAAATTAATCATCAATATTTACTAATTACAATAATTACTAAGTACTAATCACTAAATACTAAAAATAATAATTAAACCTATCTTATAAATCACTAATGATTAGTAATAAATTGATCACACATAACAAAATCATTAAATGATTATTATCACTGATTTGTAAATTATAATTTAATATTTAATTAAAATCAATCATCATTATTCTCTAATTAATAAGTACTAATCACTAATTACTGAAATTAATAATTAAATAAAACTTATAAATTACTAACAAATTTGCAATACTTAATATTTAATAATTAACTTTCACTTAATAATTTATTAATCACTACTAAAATTTTCAAATTACACCACAAATATAATATTTAATAATTAAATATCTAGTCACTAATTATGAATTACAAACTACTGCATATATTAATGACTAATTATTAATCATGAATTAATCACCAATTCCTTACTATTCACTAAGTAATCATCAATCTCCAATCACTAATTATTATACAATATTAATGAATGAATACCAACTAATTCCTAGTTAAATAATAAATACTTGAACATTAATTACAATAATTAAAACTTAAAAAAGGAGGATACCAAAAAAAAAAAAAAACTAACTAAAAAAAGAGTTCAAGAGAATCAGGTGAGTGGGAGAATGAGAAAAAAATAAAGGAGTGAGAAAGGGTGTGATATATTTATAAGAAGTGATACTCCTAAAGTGTGCCACGTGACACAATTTGGACCATATTTTTTCTTAAAAAAATTATTTAATAAATGTAACGCGAGGTTGCTACACTCATTTAAACAGAAATTTTAATGAGTATCATGCTGCACCCCAATTGGAAATTAAGAAATATATTCCCAAGGATAGCATACAAGATAATAGGTTGTGAATTGATCCAATATAATCAAACAATCGATATATGTACGCCACTAGCTTCCCTTGTGACCTTAATAGAGAGGGTTACCCTTTAGTTTTGGGACAAAATTAATAGATGGGTTTTCGTTTTGTCCTTTAACATAACACAACAAATTTTTCTACACTCACAACATTTTGTGGGGTCCACACTTTTTAAAACAAAAATATAAATAAAAAATTAAGGCACGCAAAACGAATCTCTATAACATTACACAATCACTTTTCCTACAACATAACTCTTATAAAATCCTTAATAGATTCATTAGAAGAAAAAGCCAAGAAGAGCCGCCAAATCCACCGTGGGCCCCGGTTGTTCACTACTTTCCACGTAGGAGAAGTATCACCCACTTTCCTAGGTGGAATTAACTACGTTTGACTGATTCTCCAACACCCCCTTCTTACTCTTTTCTCTCCTATATATCACCCAACTCTCACCCATCTCAATTAACTCCTCTCTCTCTCTTTGCAAAAACACACTCAAAAGAGGAAAAACCATATTTGCAAAGCCAAAAATGGGAAACTGCTTGAAGCACCAATCCTCCACCAAATACACCACCGACGACGACGTCGATGAGTGGGATTTTCAGGCAGCTAAGAGTGATTTTGCAGCCAGAGACGGTGGTGCCACCACTCCAAAAACAATAAGGGAGGTGAAGATAAAGATAACGAAGAAGCAGCTGGAGGAGTTGCTCAGCAAAGTGGACGTGAGGGAGTTGAGAGTGGAGCAGGTTTTGTCACAGTTGATGAACCATAGTCGTGGGTATGAATCACTTCAGAGACCATGGAAGCCAGCACTACAGAGCATCCCTGAGATGAATTGAGTTTAGTTTAGGTATTTGGAGTTCATGAAGGAGAGTATTGGTCTATTGGGTCAATCTTTCTTCTTGATTTCATGCTAGATTATTCAGCTTTTTTCTTGTAATTTGGAGGGAAAACAAAGGGTGCTTATAATTTTTGCTCTTTGTACATATAACAAAAAAGAGGCTAGTTTCTCTCCTTATTCTTGTTCTGATTTTTTTTTTTTTTCTATCTTTTATTGAATTCTCAATTTGTTTGTCCCCTGTGTGATTGTTTTGGATGTCAAATTATGTGTGGAAATGGAAGGACTTGAAAGTTGAGAACTATGAGATTTCATTTTCTTTGTAGTGCTATGCTAGCTCAACATTGTGGTGGCCAGGGTGGCTCTACCAGTATTATCATCCATCAAATTATTGAACATATGGGATGGGTGCTTTTTGGGATTTTGTTTTGACTATTTGGACTTTTAGTTCTTAAAGTTTTTGGATTTGCTGCGAATTTGGAGTTGATTAATCTATAATTGCGCGTTTGAAGTTAACAAGTTGGATTACACATGTGGATTGATAGATTTAAAAAAGCAATTTCACTTTAACATTAAAAAAGAATATTTAGGAGCTTCGCCCCTTAATGTTATCAAAAAAAAAAATATTTAATGGGTAAAGTTTGTGAACAGCTCCGCTCTTTAGAAAATTTCATATCTTTGGAAAAGAAAAAGAAGAAGAAAAAAAATAAACGTGCTTTTATTGTTGTAATTGACTTGACCGCACTTCCCAATTGCTCCTATTAAGATTAATTATCTATTTATATATTCTTAAATATCTTAATAAGGGAAGGTTATATTTATAAACTCTTACAAATTATAAGTAAATGTACTACCTAGTGTAATTTGTAAATAGAATCTATCTCATCTTAATAATCGTAATTTCCCAAAAACTAGGCTATCTTTATTTCCGGAAATACCTGTATGCGGTATATAACATCAATCAGTTTATTAGTGTTCAAACTTAAAACAAAAAACAAAAACAAAACAAAAACAAACGAAAATCAATCATGAAAATGAAAACAGAGTGATTTTGTTAATGGCCTTGCATTCAATTTCTTTAAAACAACTTGAATTTGATTTCTAATAAATCTTAATACTCAGGTTTGATATAGATTACCAAATCCCCTTGTTTTATCAATTTTTTTTAAATATGACAATCTCCTATATTCTTTCAGAGAAATGTTATACTTACAACCTTTTTTTTATAACCTCTTACAACCATATCTTAACACCATTGATTTTCGCCAATCAACGGTTATGATTTTCTTAAATTAAACTCATTAATTAATTATTAATTCACAATAAATGATAACCGTTGATTGACGGAAACCAACGGTGCTAAGATATGGTTGTAAGATATTATAAAAAAAAAGTTGTAAGTATAACCTTTTTTTATAACCTCTCACAACCATATCTTAACACCATTAATTTCCGCCAATCAACGGTTATGATTTTCTTAAATTAAACTCATTAATTAATTATTAATTCACAATAAATGATAACTGTTAATTGACGGAAAACAACGGTGCTAAGATATGGTTGTAAGATATTATCAAAAAAAAAAAGTTGTAAGTATAACCTTCCTCATTCTTTCGATCCAATATTTTTTTATCAGTGTAATTAATTTTGGATTCGTTATCAATTCAGTCAAGAAACTGAGTCAATGGATTGCCAGTTCAATGTGAATTATTGGTTCAGCTATTTGAATTAATTATATAATAAATATAAAATTAAAAGCATTATAAATAATAAATAGAGCTGGTTGATTAGTAAGTGTTATCATTCACATAACCTGATTCAAATCCCAATAATAATACTTTTCAAATATTGTATCCAAAATTTCATAAAAACGATCAGAGGTCCAGTTTCCGGATCAACTATAGACTTGGGTCAGATCGGTTTTTATAACCTGCTTTTGATGGAATATATGACGTAAAATTTTGTATGTTTCAAATGCTAGCGGTCATGACTTGTTAATTGTTATTGTCATAAATAATAAGATGCCGTTAGCGTATTATCTTTGAACTAGTTAAACATTCTACAATGTTTTGAATGGTTAGTGTTGGAAAAAGCTTGATTTGGATGTAACCCAGTAACTTCCTCAATCAACGGAACTGTTGGATATATGCTCTTTTGGTCACTAAAGTCCTATTGGGCTTCAGTGACACTTGAGCCCATGAGGCTTAGGGTTGAGTTATGTCTAAGACCTAAAGTATATATTCACAGTTTTCTCCTCTTGTGCCTCTAAGGTGAACAGATCATTAGAAACAAACCCAAGAGGCAGACGTTCATCATCTGAACGGTTGCCCACACAACCATCTCATCCTCCTCGAGAGATAGTCTGGAAGATCGATCATAGAGGGAACAACTATTGTTCGTGGTCACACAACTACGCCCTTCCAGGTAATCAAAACGATGAAGGTTAATCTTTTCCCTCGTCGTGTCGGTTCGATGCGCTTCCGCGTTTCTGATGATATACCTACAATTGGTATCAGAGCCGGATCGCGATGAGGAAAAGAACCAGTTTTGAAATAAATTCATGTGATTGTTTTTGAAAATTATTTTTTGAAAATATGGCATCTTTTTCTATATTTGTTATTTATTTCATGGTGATCATTCGTTTATAATTCTTATTCGATATTGCTTTTAATTTTAATCGGTTAATCGCTTTAATCCATGGTTAGATTCTCTCGTGTATTTCTTGATTTGTAACAAGGAGGCTAATCCCATATGATTAGGTTTCCTCCTTGCTGTTTTTTGTTTTTTTTTTTTTTTTGGAATTTCTATGTATTTTTCGAATTTCTGTAAAAATTGGAGATCAAGAAACTGCGAAGAACATGAGGATTCAACACTGTCCGAGACTTTTCGTGGACCTCTGGACCTCGGAATTGGACGATCCATATATGGTTGGAAAGAGGACGAAAAGACGATCACAATTACGGGTGGATCGCCGCCGTTAGATCCTCCACGCGCCGCCACGCGCCACCTCAAGTGGCTGAGAGTGGGCTTCACTCTCCGGGAGAGATACGGAGCGTGGGGGCGCGTGCCACACCCTTTTTGGGTGGTTCCGGTGACCGTGTTCTCGTCTCCCCGTGGTGGTCCTTCCCCTGGATTTTCGTGTTGAGATGACTTCGGCTGACGGCGCGGCAAAACAGTTGGCTAGGGTTCCTTTTTTTTTGTCTCCTAGGGTTTCTAGCAAAGGATTGGGTCTTTGGGCTTGTGGGCCCATAGATACCCTAAAGGGGCTTGAGACAGATACTAGGGGCTGGACGGAAAAGGAATTTCAAAGTTGTAATTTTATTTATTTATTGATTATTATAGGAAAGCCATGGATTAAAGTTATTTATTTATTATTTAATGTTTTAATTGAATGGTATGAATTATATGTGCGATTAAACATGATGTATAAAATAACATGTCATATAGAATAGGAAGATGCCATATTGTTGCATGATCACATGTCATTACTGCATAGTAGCTATTATGTCTTGAATCGACTAGTATGATAGTTAGTATGCGTGATTATTTAGGTTGTCCATTGGATTAATTAATTATGGATTTAAAATCTAGATAAATAATCCAGTTAATTTCCTAAGAGAAAATTGTTTTTTGAGAAAATAAATTTTTGTGGGTTTTCTGAAATGGTCATGGAGTAACACGTGTTGACGCAAAGTGACCGGATTTCTGAAATCAAACAAATTTTTTTTTGAATTAAACATTTCTTGGAAATTAAAAATTCTAATTTTTAAAATATTGAATGGGTGAAGGTTTTAAATTAAATATTTAATTATAAAACCTACGGGCTCCAATTGTGGGTTTATTAGTGAAATGATTATCGCTGAAGCCCCATCGGATAAGGATAATCAGATTTCGCTAGATTAAACCTTAATATCTTCAAAATTTTGGTAAAGTTTTGTACGGCCCATCGTCGGCAACACTTAGATACTAAAGATAATTTTGACAATAAACAATGGTTAAATACATTCAACTTTAATAAAATTGTTAACCCTCCCATCGAGGCTCTGACAATGGAACTGAAGGCCCAAAATAACAATATTAGTTTTACAAGTATCTTGCCCATCGTAAGCCTTGTAAAGATAGCTAATGGATTGTTAAACAATAAACGAATAGTAGTTATTAGAATCTACTAGCGCCATATCTGTTTGTTGTTTTCTTTTCGAGTTTGTAAATAATGTGTGTAATTTTATTTTCAGAAAAATGTCTTCATTCAATCCTTTAGCTACTATTTTGAGTCAAAAACCAATGGATGGTACAAACTACAAACAATGGAAAACAAATCTGGATATTGTTCTTCAATATGAAAAGCTCAATTTTGTTCTGACCACCCCTATACCGGCGCAGCCTGCTGAAGATGCGCCTGAGGCAACAAAGGCCCAATTTCAGCAGGAGAAGGAGAAATGGGAGAAGGCAAATGTGGCAGTTCGCTGTTACATTTTAGCCAGTCTTGCCAATCACCTTCAGGAGCAGGTAAACATGGTTGAGAGTGGAGCAGCTATGCTCCAGACTCTTGATGGCATGTTTGCTACGTCCAGCAGCTCTGCTAGGCAGATTGCGCTGAATGCTGTCACTAAGACAGTAATGTCTGGAGGAAGTGTGCGGGATCATTGTTTGTCAATGATTGCAAACTTCAAGAAGGCTGAGGATCATGGGGTCAAGTTTGAACAAGAAGTAAAAGTTGACCTTCTCTTGCAATCATTGCCTGAATACTTCACTCAATTCAAGATGAATTATAATATGAATAAGATGAATCTTAATCTTACTCAACTGATGCACGAGCTTGAGAGTGCTGAACAGTCTCTAGTCAAGCAGGGCAGTGCATTTTATGCTGGTGAAAGTTCTGTGAAACCTAAGGGGAAACCCAAGGGGAAGAACAAGAACAAGAAAAAGAAGAAATCAGGTATTCCAGTTGCCAAACCAGTTGCAATGAAGCAACCGAAAGGTAAGTGCTTCAAGTGCGGACAAAAGGGGCATTGGAAGAAAAATTGCCCACGCATGAATCAGCCAGGTATGGGTAATTTACATGTGATTGAGGCTTGTTTAGTGGAGAATTACAATGATAAATGGATCATTGATTCAGGAGCCACTAACCATGTTTGTTACTCTTTGCAGTGGTTCAAACATAGCTTGCCTTTAAGCGAAGGACAAAGAGTTTTGAAGCTTGGAAATGGGGAGCTTGTGTCTGCACTGGCAGTGGGACAAGTTATTTTATCTTTTAATAATTGCAGAACTTTGGTTTTAGAAGACTGTTTAT